TGAAATATACCTGTTTGGTTGAAAAATACCGACTGAGTTGAACTAAAATCCAGGGTGAAATGGACCCGGTGGTGAAATAGGCTCGTTCGGTTCAAAAATACCGATTGAGTTGAAATAGACTCGAGGGTGAAATAGACCCGAGTGTGAAATAGACCCGTTGCAGCTTCGAGTTGATATGTTTGTATGTTATAAGGTATTTAGGCAACTCACTAAGATTTGTGCTTATGGTTTTATGTTTATGGTTTCAGGTACTTCAGGTTCCAAGGGAAAGAGCTCAACGTGATTGTACCTCATCCACTAGTGTTCCACATGATTTGAATTGTTTTGTACTCTAATGACTATATGGCATCTTTTTATACTCTGATGGGATTTCTAATTGAATGAATGGTTGTTTTTATCGACTTAATGAAAAAGTTTCACTTATAAATTTTTAGACGTTACAACATGACTACTGTTTGGGCCAAGCACATAATTTTAGGGTTTCCTCCATATATAAGCCTCTAACCTCATATTTAGGGCATCATCTCCAGCCTCCATCACCTCTAAGAACCTTGAAGCAAACCCTAATACCCTCACCTTCATATTTGAGCTTAACTTTGGTGATTTGGTGCTTTTGGAAGGAAGAAGAAGATCCTTGTGGTGTAGAGAACATATTGGCAAGCTTAGATATTTCATTTGAGAAATTTATGGATCATTGTAAGTGTTCAAGATCCAAACTTTATGTTGCATGCTTTTAGATCTAGGGTCATTGTCCGTTTTTCTTCATGTAATGGAATAGATTTCATAAAGTTGGCAACTTTATGGATCCTTGAGGTCCTTTCGGGGTTATATGATCCAGATCTAGAGTTTTATGGTGTATTTGGTCTCATGAACAAGTTTGAGTTAATTTCTTCCATGTTTTTGACCTAGTTTGGAAGAGACATGCATTGAATATGCATATCAATAAAGCACTAATTTTTATGGTGATTTAGGTGTAAGAAGTCCCTCTCGAAGTTATGGACTTGTAGCTTTGGTAATTAAGTGCTTAATGGTTAAGTTCATGCCTTAAGATGTTATTAAGGATCTAGGTTTAAAGATCTTGACTTATTGGATGCCTTAATGGATAAAGTCAGAAACTTTATCCGTCAAGACCTTGGAAAGGACTAGATCTGAGCTTTGTAGCTCTTGGAGTGGAAGGAAAACCGCTTAATCCATCAAGCTATTGAGACCCTATTTCCACGATGTAGCATTTTGGCCACCACGACGTTACGACTGGGGGGATGCTCGTCTATTTTGTCATTATTCTGCCACGACATGACCAATGGGATGTCACAATGTGGAAACTTGCTGAAGTTGACTTTAATCGTTGACTTTTGACCTTGGTTAACTTTTGGTCAATTGGCTAGTTTTGAAAGGTGGGCTAAGGGTTTACCTTGTGTGGTTTATTAGGAGGTGTATAGCACCCGTTCTTTGGTGGTGAGAGCTGTTAGTAGTTGACCATGTCGCGATGTGAGTCTTCTCAGTATACTGTGTAGATTTCTAGATTGTTTTTATGACTCTTGAATGAAAGACTATGCTTGGATCACAACACCTATATGAAAGAATATTGTTCGATCACAACACATGTATGAAAGACTATGGTTGGATCACATCACTTTTTTGTGTTTGTGACTTGCATGGAAGACCACGGTTTGATCATGGCAGATAGGTTACGGTTAGGATATAATCTGGAAGTGATTGTAAGACTATGGTTAGATCATAGCATTCATATAGGGTTGAAATACACCCCTAGGGATGGGCTCACTAATATGTATGGTATGTGATATTTTGTGGAATTTACTAAGATTTATGCTTATGGTTTTGTGGCTTAAATATTTTTAGGTACTTCCAGTTCCAAAGGGAAGGGTCTGACTTGACTGCACAACATCCCTTAATGGCTTTTTCTGCACTGGCTATTATTGTTTTACTTTGATGTATGAGAGATATATTTTACTATGATTGGTTTTCAAACAGAAGTTTGTATGGGTTCGATGGTTTAAAAATGAAAATTTTATTGATATATTTGAGACGCTACATTTTTAAGTCAATCAATTATTATTATTATTAAAAAAACAATTTTTTATTAACTTGACCAAACTCTTGGTCTACCACCTCATGCCCCCCTCTGGTGACCGGTTAGTTGAGACACCGTCCCCCATCACCACTCTATTTCCTCTCTACATAGACTCCACGTTCATCTTCTTCAAACACATCCCTCCAGCACCTAATACAAAACCTCGTTCACAAAACAAAAAAATCCACATTCCAACTCCTTTTCTATTGTTCTTCTTACTAAATTTTTGTCTTCTTAGAGGAACCAAAGGTTGGTGTTAGGACCCGAAGACTACACTCTAACATATGAAATCAAAAAGCATTTTTAGAGCAATATCAGTTGTCCGTGAAAATCTCACACCAGTTGCTCAAACCTACATATAAGTGAGGTCCCAACAAATTTTCAATTGGAAATTTTCCGATTGACGAAGATTAAGGCAATTTGATTCATAAACATACGACTTATGACATCGTCAGAAGGATCGAAACCATATTCATAGGAAAACAATTTTTCAGATAGATCGAACTATTGGAAGATCAAATAAACGAGCGCACCGATCACCATGTTGATAAAAAATAGGTGCAAGTTTTAACATCGCCACAACCCAATTTATTTTCTTGCTCCTTGCTCGTTGAGTGACATATAAAAAGAACAAAAAAAAGGTTAGATTTGACTTAGTGACTTATGCGGTTATGCCCTTGGGCTATCATGACATCATCCCCCGATGACATGCATCACCTTTTGCTACTCAATCTATTTGGAATTGATGATGAAGACAATTTGATTCAAAATTTTTGGAATCGATGATGAAAACACTTTGATTCAAATTTGTACCGATGAGTTGCTTGTTATGACATGGGGTAAGGGCATTCGTGGGTTATAAAAAGGGGAGGGTTGTTTTTAACAATAATTATAAATATTTTTTTTTAAATCCATTTAGACACAACGCCAGCTCTGGATGGATAAAGTTGGATACTTACATAAAATGTCATGTAGAATCTAACTTTGTAACTTGTTATAGCGGGCCATAATAGTCAAATGAAAACAAAAACATATATTTAAGATCTAATTTAGCATCTTTTGAACTATACCACAGTATGTTTGATGGTCAATTATAGCAATAACCTTATTTTCTATTATTCGGACACTTTGATAACTACAATAATTGGTACTTATCCATTTCTTTACCTTGTAGATTCCATTATTTTGTAATTTATTCTATGCAGAAAAAAAATCCCAAAGATCCGGACTGAAGATTAGCTTTTCAAAAAATGCAACCAATAAACAATCTCAAAAACTATTCCATATCATTGGGTGTAGCAGTTTATAATAAGTTCCATTACAAGACCTAAAATTGAAGGACTCCATATAATTGGTTGTAGCAGTTTATCATAAGTTCAATTACAACTTTACAAGTCCTAAAACTACAGGATTATATATAATACAATTAAAGGGAACTTCTCACACTTGTCTCCTAACTTTATACAATCCTAACTTTACACAATTGCACACATGCAAAGATTATGCTATATACCTTGGCAAAACATACACTGTTAGAAGTCTGATCTTCACTTGTACAAAAAATCAAAGGCTGGATACATGGCAAGTTGTAGAGCAGGTTTAATTGCAAAATTTTCTAATTGGAAGGAATTAGAGAGGTCATCTACAGAGAAAGGTATGATGCATTTGAAAACTCAATGAGTCATTGTGTTACAGTTTTTGTGAAGAAAAAGTTATTAAAAGAATTTGTGTTGGAATTCATTCTTTTTGGATGAAATTCATTTCTATAATATATACCATATTAAAACTGGATATTCTATACATCTGCTGGATGCTTAGAATCTGAAAATAGATGAGAGTGTCAAGTCAAAGAATCAGAGTGGGAGAGAACACGTATGCATCCTATCATGTTTTAATTTAGTACATTGGCATAAAATTTAAGAAATGGCCACAAAGGTTATTTTAAATAAGTTTTAGACTTTACAAGTGGACCATGTTCTCTCATATGTTTAAAATTAGTTCAGAGAATATATATAGCTTAAAAATGTTTCATAAAATCCCTTAAAATGATATATTTTTAATTTTCAAAACAAGTATATTAGTTTCTACAACTACACTTGTGACCCTCACAAATAAAATATTATCAATATCAGTTGGAACTATTTGCAGTTACATTTACAAATTGGGCATTTAAGATGTTTATTGAATTGGTTTGCCTCTGAGTTACAGATAACATCTTATGCATTCCCACGATTTAAATGTGGTATTGGTGTTTTGCAAGCGTTTTTTGCATTCTATTTTGTTGTTTTGTTTGTTATTCATGACTTCTCACTACTAGAAAAATAGCCTTTTACAACGCTCATTGCGCGTCGTAAACGGCTCAGACGACGCGCAAATGCGCGTCAAGGAAGGCCCTGTCATAAAGAGAGACGACGCGCATTTACGACATGCAATGCGTATCTAGGAAGGTCCTGTCATAAATGAAGATGACACGCATTCGCGTATCGTAACCTTACGACGCGCGTGTTAATGACACGCAATGCGTATCAAGAAAACCCCTGTCAAGAAAGGCCAGGTCATAAATGAAGATGACACACATTTTTGCGTATCATAATTTTAAATGTTTAAAAAAATATTCTTTATAGATTTACTTATTTTCAAATTAAATTTGTATTTAATGTTTCATTATAGAAAATAAAATATCATATACAAAAAATAGAATCCATTGCATAAATTTAATGTCATACAAATAATCGTTCCATGGAAAGATAAAACAAATCAATAGAAGTTGTAACAAAAATTTACAAATGAATTAGATACAAAAAATACAATCCATTGTCCCTTTGCTAACTAATCTGTACAAATTTACCCTTGTTTCTAATCATTTTCTTAAATACTTTACAAACATAATTCATCCATAGTACCTGAACTATAGTTGTAGCCTTGTTTCTTCTTCTTTTGAACTCATCTCTTGCAACCATTGCTCTAAGCTTAGTCTGAATAGATACAACAACTCCTTGTCCATTATGTGAAAAATACAACCGGAGAGTGGCCTACCTTCATAATAGCAATAACTAACGAAGCAGGAATGAAAGAGAAGGCAATACTCACAACAATAGCTGCAGTGAATGCATCTAGGTCCTACAAGATCATTAAAATCACTATTTAAATACACACTACATATAAAGGTGTCGATATTCTGATTGCATGTACTTAATATATAAAGACTCCAACAATAAATAGATATGTTATGTTACCTTGAGACACCTTTGAAGGGGATCCAAAATGCCATACCAATTTGGGATCTAAAATGCAATACAATAAAGAAATCCAACATAATTAATTTTGCAAAAGAGTACCTATAACACCAATGTTTATAAAGGTCCCCATGACTCCATCATTACCCTAGTCCATGTACTCCAAAATCTTTCTTGTTCCTGCAAGCTAGCTGTAATGGCATTCCTGCAAGTGCTCCATCTCCCCTGGATCCTTGAACAAAAACCTAAATAAATTTTAAACTTTTATTTATATTCGAATATTTTTTTTTGTTGTATATACAATAACTGAATTTGACATTTATAGTTTAGTAGTTGGAATTGGAAGAATCATAATTTGTCATGCCTTTAATTGGCAGGAAATGGAATGGAATTTAACAAAAAAGGAAGAATAGAATTGAATGGTGAATCCCATCAAACATGGAATTTGAAGGAATTTGATATAATTTAATTCCATCCATTTTCCAATCAAACATGCCATGGAATGGAATCTCCAATTTCAATTCCATCAGAACCATGATAAGCATACCTTAACACATTTTCCATCATTTGAAAATGATAGAGCAAGAACACGCACAACTTCCATCAAAGTACCTATTCGATATACATCCTGTACATAAATATAATTTATATTTATATTTTATAACAATTCAATTATTGAAAAAGGAAGTGTTCCTCACTGTGTTGGGGTTCAGCTTTGGCTATCATCAACATTACAAGTTGTCTCAGTATTGTCCACCGCCACATGGAATAAGCTGCAGAAGAAAGTTCAAAGGAAGGAAACAAATTCAAAATTCTTAAAAAAATTAAAAATCTTAAAAAAAAGCATCCAAGGACTTCGATACCTGTAAACTTTAGTTCCTTATCCAACTTATCCTACAATACATCTGTCACACCCTTCTCATCCGTCACGAAAACCCCCATGACCTATATAAATCAAACATCAAAGCTTCAATAACAAAACCAAAGGGCAAATCTGTCATTTTTTTGGAAAAATCAAACCCAGCCAAACGAACCTGAGGGTGGAGGAGGTGCACCTCGCCCTATTGCCGCTAAATCAGGGTTGACTTTCTGACCGGCCTCCTGAAGTATGGCAATAAGTTCCTTAGCAAACCGAGCATTTGTTGTTGTAAAGAAAGTGTATGCTGTCCCTTTAGCCCCGACTCTTCCTGTTCTCCCAATCCTATGAACATAATCTTCCAAGGAACCCGGGAAATCATAATTTATCACATATTTCACGCCCTTCACATCTGTAGCTGTCATTATTGGACTTTTACTAGCTTTGAATTCGGATAAATCCTAATCTCTTTCTGCTTGACTTTTATTTGCATGGATTGATAATGCGGGCCACCCGTCCATTCTGAGCTGGCGGGTAATTTGGTCACACCCTTTCTTCGTGTCCATAAAAATTAGAATTCTACTCCCATCCATGATGTCATCCAACAGTTTCACCAATCTGAAAAAAAAATTATCAAATTTTATTATTTTAAAGCTTCTAAAAAGTTGAAAATAAAAAATCATCTATAAAAATGGCCTGCTTACTTGTTGTACTTTTGATTCTGAGTAACAATATCAACATGTCCAAATTTCAAATCATCTATAAAAATGGCCTGCTTTTAAGTCTTGTGAACTAATAACCACCTGTCCAAATTTCAAATGTCCAAAAAAAAGGATTAAATATGAACACATGGTGAAAATAGAAAAAAAGTAGTCACTTTGTATGGGTTGTAAAGAAACTATCTTGCAAGTTGTTCGACTTCCTTTGGCCATGTAGCACTCCAATAAAAGGTTTAAAAATCTGGTCGCATCTGTGTATATACAAAAACCCATGAGATAAGAAAAATTGAAATATTTTAGTTTTCTCTTATTATAAAAGGCAGGTTAAAAACTACTAATCACAATTCACAAACCTGTGAAACAATTTTTTTCATTTGAGGTTCAAAACCCATGTCAAGCATCCTATATGCCTCATCCAACACAAGGTAAGTCACCCTCCTCAGGTTTGTATGATGAGACTCCAACATATCAATCAATCTTCCAGGTGTAGCAATGATAATATGAACACCTGAAAGAAAAGATTTAAAAAAAATGATGATGAAACATGTGCTTTAGGCACAACAAAGATAGATAATAGATATAATGCTGGAAAATGTTGAATACGCTGAAGAAGCATAAGGATATACCCGATCCATAGTAGTAAATTCATCTTTGAGCTTATCACCACCTACCTTTCTGTAAATCACGAACTTGAGGAACCTTTGGAACCCCACCATAAATGCAAGTATTCTTAATCTTTGAAGTTGTGCCAAATTTAGTTGCTTCTTGTTGTATTTGAACAGCAAGTTCACAAGTTGGAGCTAAAACTAACACAATCGGTCCATCTCCTTTTACTGTGATACCTGTAAACTCGCCGGAAATGGGTTATCCTATTCATTTTCTGATTGTGAATTTGACCTTCACGTCCTTTGTGCTCATTCTATTACCGGTACTTCCCGTACTTATCAACCCTCAATGGTTCACCCCAATCAAACTCATGGTCAAGAAATGGATCCATAAAGTGGACAGAACTCTTACCAAGCACAAAATGCCTGCCCTCCTACTAGTGTTCATAACCCTATTACTAATTTCCAATATTCTTTCGTGGCTCCTGTTATTGTTGGGGTTCAGCTTCGCGATTGCAGCTCTACATTTCTCTTCATCCTGCAATAAATGCTCTAGTTCTTCTATTTCTTTCTTAAGTTCACTAACTTCCTCATTCATATACATCTCTATCACCTGATCTTATCCTTCCACTGACTCAAGCTCCTACATCATGAATTTTTATGAACGTTTATAATTAACTATTTAAACATAGTTTCTGAGATTATTAAGTTTAAAATGTGATAGAATATCATCTTAAGACTTAGCTGTTCATCAAGTGTGAAATGTTCTTTGGTCCAATCACAAGAAGCACCAAGTCGCCTTATCTGAAGTCTTCTCTACCTGATTCAACCCTCTTAATTCATTCAGATGCCAACATTCTTTCAACAACCAACTGAAAACAATATCTGTTAGATATATAATATATTAACTAAGTAGACTAATACAATAATCAGAAATCCATTTGTGGAAAAACTCAAACCTGAGTTGCATTGCCAGCATGATCAGTTCCAGAGAGCTACAGTGTAGGTCTGCCCTTCATCCTGTTGTATCTGATCATAATATCCTGGAACACAATTGAAAATATGAATGGTTTGTTTATTTACACATTGAATAAAGAAAAAATGATGAATTTTACAAAGTTTTTATGTGAATCTATGTTGTTAGTAAACATTTACCAAACCTCAAGAGTTACAAACATAACATGTCTCATGTGCAATGAACCAGTCACGTTTGGAGGTTGCATTGTGACAACAAAAGGTTCATTTCCCTTATCAAAGTTTGGCTTGAAATGCCCTTGGGAATCCCACCTAGAAGCAATCAATGATTAATACATAGAAATGATGATATGATAATCATTTTTTTCAGTTAATACGAAACATGGCACATTCGATCAAAAGTAATACCAGTTGCATACACTCTTTCCAGATGAATTGCCTTCAATCTGGTATAATAAAAGTGGATACTACTTAGACATATATATATATATATATATATATATATATATATATATACACACACACACACACACACATTTAGGCTCATTAAGTGTGGCCATAAAGCTAGGGTTCCATGATACAAAAGAAGAACTTTGAAATTACCTGGTTCGATTCAACACCCCCATCAGAAAGGTTTCCATTATCTTCAGATTCATCTTTTATAGCACCTTTGTGAAAACATGTGAGAACAAATTTAAATTATTGACAACCAAATCAATAAACAAGAAATTTAAACGCCAGATGTTGCAGGGTGTATGATCTTTATGACTAACAGTCAAACATTTTACTTAAATATGTGCAAAATCAAACAAATGTTTTTACTGGATTGTCATAATTATATCGTACATATGTAACTAGCCCTAATTCGTATATCTCCCTTTTTAGCACGATAAGAATCCAAAAATCACAAAGGTTAAACTATGTGTCATTGTGATTTCTGCCAATTTAACTCTGAATAAGTCCCCATATTTGACCCATTACTGCTTAACTATAAAAAAAAATCGGATATGAATCACAATTGTAACTGAATGTGATCGACCTCCAAATACAATTATATTGAAGGCTATTTGACCATTTCAAATACGATCACAATTGAAAAAAAAATATGAATCTTAAAACAATTAGGTCAGATCAAGGGATTGCTTACCTGTGGACGACATGAATAACCTCCATCAATGATTGAACTCATTCGATCCATTTAAAATCCTACCCTTTACCAAATCGATTGAAGACGTCATATTGAAGGGTGTTTGTAACTGAAATCTACGAGATTGATGATTTTAGTAAGCTAAGTAAACAGATGATGGAGTGTTGACATGGGGAAATATGGATTCGAGCCCTATAAGCTGAGAAGTAGACACATCTATGAAGCGCGGTACTTGCAATCGATTTGTTGGATTTGCTGGTCTGATTTTTAAGAAGATTTTGTGTAGTTCGGAGAAAAGTGCTAGTTCTTCCAAAGTTTGGGGGGATGGATCACTGTAACGGGGCTTAGGTCTCCTACAAGGAGAAGCGAGCATGAGATCACTAGACCTGAGGTTGCCGACAAGGTGAGGTTGTTGGCAAGGTGATGTAGCCGACAAGGTGAGGCGAGGTGATCAGGTGATATTGTCGATCGTTGTACAGGCAGAGCACCGAGAACGGTCATCTTTCATCGGAAGTCGACGGTGGTGGGAGACACTAGGAAGGGTCGAATAAGCAGCAGATGGCGGAAGGTGAATGGAGGTTTGAGAATCGAGAGAGAAGAAAGAAAGAAAGAAAGGGGGTTTTCAGCGGGGATGAGCTAGGGTTTTCAGCTGGTGGAAACCAAGCGCGTTTCATTAAAATTTATAAAGCTGCATGGTGAGACGACGCACATTTTATTTAAGGTGCCCTCCGTTTTTTTTATTAGACACTAATTTTAGGGCACGCAAGAAATGCGCGTTCTCTATGCTTCATATTTTGGAAAACTGACATCAAATTTTAGGGCACGTACAAATGGGTGTCCTCTATTAGCGCGTGTCATTCATTGCGCGTCGTAAAAAGCTATTTTTCTAGTAGTGTCTTTTATCATTTGTGACAACCCAAAAATCTCCGTTAGTTTTAACATCGAAATTAACGTCGAGATTAACGTCAAAATTAGCCAAATTATCCCAAAAATATTTTTGACCGGAATTAAACCCGTTGGAATATTTTATATAATATTCGTCAAGCAAAAATAAACTCGTAAATTATCTTTCCATTTTATTGGAAAAAGTTTATTTTTATTTACTACCATTTAATCGGGTGCGACCAAAAGCCCCGTTTAATGGTAGTATCGGGTAGAATTCAACCGTGTCCCGAACTTGGAACATATTTAAAGTGGATTAAGCTTCCATTTGAAGATTTTACACTCTCTCACTACACTCTCTCTAACCTCTCTCATCAATCCAAACTTAAGGTCCAAAATCATCAAATTAAGGCTCCAATTCATCAAGGTAACTTCCCTAACTCATAGATTAGCATCCTTAGCCTTCAAATTCGTGTTTAATCTATGGAAAAGGACCATGTTCATGTGTTTACGGCCCTGGAACATGCTTGGGCCGTGAACACACATAAAATGGGTTTTTGAGCCTTAAAACCCTTCCAATCCACCTTTAGAGCTTAGATATGGCTAAATGACTTATGGGAATGGACTTAGAACACCTTGAACTTAACTTTTGGGGAGTAAACTTGAGTTTACTTCCCAAGAACATGCTTGGGCCATAAACTCATCTTCATGGGGAGTACACTCAAATTCAAGTGTTTAAATGCCACTTAAAGACACCAATAGCCTTGGATTAAATTCTAGAACCAACCACAATCGATTTAGGGGCCATAAACATGATGACAACCACCCCTTTGAGAGTTCACGGCCGTAAACCCCCCCCAAGAATGGGTTCCTGGGCCGTAAACTCCCAAAAGGTGGCCAAATGATGCCCTAACACCCCCATTCGACTTGGAATAATGCTTAGAACTTTATGCTCTATCATTTAAGGCTTAGATCTATGAAGGAAATCACCAAGTGAGAGTTTACGGCCATAAACTCCTTGTTTAGGGCCGTGAACTCCTCAAATGGTCCATTTAGAGCCTTAAACCCATTCATATGCTTTATATTTGGACCTAGCCTAATTCTATGAGTGAGATAAGACCATTTGGCATCCTAGAACACCCCCACCATGAGTTTACGGCCATAAACTCATGGGGATGAGGTCTTAGGGCCGTGAACTATATGAAGAGTTTACTCTTGAAGAGTTTACTCTTGAAGAGTAAACTCCCTATCTAGGCCATACATACCCATAGATGTTACCCGGGACACCCCTAGCACTTAATCAAAGTGTTTTCTGCACTTTAGGATGCGTATACGTGTTTAATTAGTACTGTATCTACTAATTGTATGTAAACATATGTCATCATATGTTAATAGGTCACTAAGTGTGTTCAAGTCTTTACTTGACACCAAGCACCCAACCCGCACCTTCGTTCGATCCACTTACAACAGGTGAGTTTATACCCCTGAATTAGCCTTTTAAATGTTTTTACATGCTTTTATGGGGGGGGGGGGGGGGGGAATATAAGTTAAACATGCCAGTTATCATATCAATCACATAGTTAAACATGCCAGTTATCATATCAATTACATGTGATTAATAACCCGCATGCACAAGGATGTCTTACACTGTCAACTGTTTTACCAAGTATGATACTGTAAACGTTTTTCTAAAACATTTTTAGTGTTCAAAGCTCTTCTCAAACTGTCTCGTGTTGTTTGTTTTAATTCAATTCAGTTATAGCAGCATTTTAAACAAAGGTTTTCCTTACTTATATTGTTTTTTATCAAAGTTATAATCAAAACTTGTTTATGAAAGAATTTCAAGGGTTTCTAAAGGTTTTCAAACTTATTTTACAAAAGAATACCAAGTCATGATTTTCTTAAGTATAAAGGTTTTCCAAGTTTTCATCAAAGTTTTCTTCCCTGTTTTTATACTCCTACTTTGTTAGATACTACTGCTTCATTATACTTTTACTTAGTTAATGCTCCTACTTAGTTAAATGCTACTACTTTGTTAACGCTTCACGATGCACTCCTACTTCACGATATGCTCCTACTTCACGATACGTTTCTACTTGGTAACACTTCTACTTCGTTGAACACTTCAACTTCATTAAATGCTTCTACTTAGTTAAATGTATGCCTGTGCTTGTATAGTTATATAAATAATGTTTAAAGGACTTAGCAAGGCTAGTTCACCCTATTTCCTTTTCTTTATTGAGATGTGGTCTGGTGGGATCGGATATCCGTCCGAAGGTCGTTTGATCATTAATTATATATTATGTATACAAGCATCGACATATAGGTTTACATCGGTCA